TTGCGGGGGTTCCAGGAAACCAAACGACTTAGAGAGGGAGAGATCACCATCTACATGGGCAATGCTATGAAAGTGGCGGCTGTTACAGTGGGAGACGTTACTTTATCGTTTGATAGTAGTAGTTTGGTTTTGAGAAATTGCTTTTATGTTCTTAGTTTTAGAAAGAATCTTGTTTCAGTTTCTAAACTCGTTATGGATGGATTTTTAGTTTCGTTTGATGACATGGTTATTATTCGTTTTGAAAATCGTTTCATATGTTGTGGTACATTAGTTGGCAATTTATATGTTCTCAAACCATACTCTTCCACAGTGCAAAAAAATGAATTGAATAATGTCATAACTACATCTAATAAGAGGAATGAGTCTTCGCAGATGAATCAAGCATATCTGTGGCACCTTAGACTTGGGCACATCAACCTTAGGAGGATTGAAAAGTTAGTGGCCAGTGGACATCTCAGTCCCTTGGAAGAGCACTATCCAACTTGCGAATCCTACCTGGAAGGTAAGATGGCCAAGAGGCCATTTACGATAAAGGGGTATAGGGGCCAAGAAGTGCTAGGATTGATTCATTCTGATTTGTGTGGTCCTATGTCGATCTAGGCTAGAGGAGGTTTCGAGTACTATGTATCTTTCATAGATGATTACTCGAGATTTGGGTACGCTTACCTGTTGCACCGCAAGTTTGAATGCTTTGAGAAATTCAAGGAGTACCAGGCAGTTGTGGAGAAGCTTCATGGTAAAAGTATCAAGTCACTTCGTTCTGATCGAGGTGGCGAATACCTCTTTGGAGAGTTCAAGACATACCTATCGGAGCTGGGATTGAATCCCAACTGACTGCACCCGGCACGCCCCAGCAGAACGGGGTTGCAGAGCGAAGAAATAGGACTCTTATAGAGACGGTTAGGTCTATGATGAGTTATTCGAGGTTACCAGATTCGTTCTGGGGTTTGGCATTAGAAACAACATCGTATATTCTGAGCATGGTTCCATCGAAGTCAGTTGACACTACTCCTTATGAGATGTGGAAAGGGCGCAAGCCCAGTTTCTCACAGTTTCGAGTTTGGGGTAGTCCTACACACGTGTTAGTGCAAGAACCTGGCAAGTTGGAGAAACATTCGGAAGCACGAGTTTTCGTAGGCTATCCCAAGGGAACGAAAGGTGGATTATTTTAAAGTCCTGAGGATCAGAAGGTGATCGTTTCGACGAATGCTAGATTCTTGGAAGAAGACTATATTATGAATCATAAGCCCGCGAGTAGACTAGTCTTGGAGGAGTTAAGGGGTGAAATCGATGGTTACCCACCAAGTGCGCAAGTAGATACATCACATAATACTGCAACACGACACACTGAGAGTGTACCAGTGCAGACAATGCCTCGTCGCAGTGGGAGGATTTCTCATTTACCCCACCAATAGATAGGTCTTGGAGAGTCATCGGACTCAGTTCCAGGAGGCCTAGAATCGGACCCAAGAACTTACGATGAGGCACTCTAAGATAAAGATGCAGATTCATGGAATGTTGCAATGAAAGCTGAAATGGGGTCAATGGACTCCAATCAGGTCTGGGATCGTGTAGAACCACCTGATGGGGTACGACCCATTGGATGTAAGTGGATCTTTAAGAGAAAGAGAGGATCGGATGGGAAGGTGAAAACCTTCAAAGCTAGGCTTGTTGCGAAAGGTTATACTCAGATCGAGGGTATTGATTATGATGAGACCTTTTTGCCAGTAGCTATGCTTAAGTCCTTTCGGATTCTCTTGGCTGTAGCCGCTCATATGGACTATGAGGTCTGGCAGATGGATGTCAAGACAGCATTCCTTAATGGGAACCTGCAGGAAGACATCTATATGCAGCAACCAAAGGGATTCATTGCTGAAGGTCGTGAGCATCTAGTGTGTAAGCTTATTCGGTCTATTTATGGACTGAAGCAAGCTTCGAGATCCTGGAACATCCGTTTTGATGAGGTGATCCAGTCGTACGGGTTCACTCAATGTTCGGATGAGCACTATGTTTACAAGAAAATCAGTGGCAGCGTGGTGGTGTTTCTTATGCTTTACGTAGATGACATACTGCTTATTGGAAACAGTAAGAAGGAGTTGTCATACATAAAGGTGTGGTTGTCTAAGCCGTTTGATATGAAGGACTTAGGTGAAGCAGAACACATTCTTGGTATTAGGCTCATTAGAGACCGTAAGAAGAGAATGTTGTGCTTATCCCAGTCTTCATACATAGATAATGTCTTAGCCAGATTCAGCATGGAGGATTCCAAGAAAGGTATGTTACCTTTCAGACATGGAATACCTCTATCTAAGGAGATGTCTCCTAAGACGTCTAAGAAGATAGAGGAGATGAAAACAAATCCTTATGCTTCGGCAGTAGGAAGTCTCATGTATGCAATGTTGTGCAATGTTGTGCACTAGGCCGGATATTAACTACGCCGTTGGCATGGTAGCTAGATATCAAAGTAATCCGGGACGGGAACATTGGTTTGCGGTGAAGCATATACTCAAGTACCTGAGAAGGACTAAGGAGTACATGTTAGTTTACCGTGCTGACAGCTTGTTACCTCTGGGTTACAGTGATTCCGATTTCCAGTCAGATAAGGATGAAAGTAAGTCAACCGCAGGTTATGTGTTTACCTTGGAAAGTGGAGCCATTTTATGGAGGAGTGCTAACCAAAAATGCGTGGCAGACTCCACTATAGAAGTCGAGTACATAGCAGCCTCAGAGGCAGCGAAAGAGGCAGTTTGGCTCAGGAACTTCTTAGTGGACTTAAAGGTTATACCGAGTTTGCCACGTGGTATCACCGTGTACTGTGATAACAGTGGAGCAGTAGCGAACTCAAAAGAACCTCGAGCCATCAGGACAAGCAAACACATAGAGCGCAAATACCATCTGATTCGGGATATCGTTGGTAGAGGAGACGTTGGTGTTGCCAAGATTGTGTTAGAGGACAACCTAGCTGATCCTTTCACGAAGAGTTTGTCGGGGAAGTTCTTCGTCAAACACATGGAAGGAATGGGAGTCATGAGCATGGCAATAGGATCGGCATAGGTCTTTTAGTCAAATCCGTCGACTAAGTGGCTCGTGGAAGATTCTCTTGGATTTATGAAACAGTCGACTCGACTCGAACCAAATATGGAAACAAACACAAAAAGGACGACACACCAAAGACTCAGCCACTTAACTCAACATTCACACCACCTACATAACATGAAAAGAGGACTTCATATATTAAAGATCATACCCATTTCAAAGGTTAACATATTAAACAAATAAATCGGGTAAATAGACAATTAATACTCATTTTTTAGATGACCTGGTAAATGAACGAATTTGGATATGAAAGTTTTACATATAATAAACATTGCTGAGAACATCAAATTCACCAAATTTCAGCCTTACCACCTAAACATGCGATTTTATAAAATTAATACAAGTTTTCAGCAAAAACAAGTATGTATTTAAATGATTAAGCAAATGAATGAATCTGAACCTAATATTTTTATGAAGGTAAATATAGCATGCTGGGAGTGTTATATAAAAATTTCGTGCATAAACAATAATCAAGCGAATTATAATAATTATTCTAAGCACTCTGACCAAGTTTCATGAATTAACATCAAGAATTCGATTTTACATGAATTTTACAACATTCAGCATATTTGAGAAAACAACTATTTACCCAGGCAAATGACCTCCAAAAATTATGAACCTTTAACACAACGTACAAATACATCAAGGGAGAAACATATCCAAATTTCACAAGTTTTGGGCAACAATACGATTTATCATGTATTTTACAAGTTGCAGAAGACACATCATCTATAAAAATTCATAACTTGAAAAATACAACTTCAAATTGAGCAAAGTCAAAACCGTTGTGATCAGGGCACAAAGACGTTCCATTTTCCAAGATATTTCTACGAGATCATTTCAGATCATAAGGTTTTCGAATTTATCCTTATGGATCTAAAACGTACACTACATGAAATAACAATTTGAATAAGAATTTATCCAAATAATTCCCTTTTCATGTATTCATATAATCTCCAGAAATATAACACATAATCACAAGGGATTTATGAAGTTTAGTAAAAAGAATTTAACAAACACCAAAGGGAGAAATAAACGTGTTCGGTTTCGGAAAGGCCCAGAGATGATCAAGTCCTAAGGGCGGGGAAATCGTCCGCCTGGGATTGCGTTCGTAGGCGGCTCGCACGTCGAGGGCGGTGACCGGAGATCCTTGATGGCTCATGGCTGAGGGAAGTGGCGTCGAACGTGCCAAAGGGCTGGACGTGCTCGCGGTTGAGCGTGGGGCCCTGGGCGCAGGCGTGCGGCGTCGCGTGCGGTGGGGCGGCCATGCGGTGTTAGCGAGGCATAGCTCTGGGGGATTTTTCCGACAAAAAAAAGGAGAGAAAAAGGAATATGAGAGCTCTGAAATTTCTCAAAGACAAGAGAGAGAGAGAGTGCCGAGAGAGAGAGAGGGAGGGAGAGTGAATGGAGAAAGAAAGAGAGAGTTTCCTATTTAATGAAATCAAAACGTAACCCCTCGACATAAAATCTGGTCATAAGCAGAGTGATGAGGGTCAAATGCTAATTTAATGGGATAGGGTGTTACATAATTTGAATTTAAAATTCAAAAAGAGGTGCCATGCATGCAAGGATGGGAGGGTGGCGGGTCGGGCGGCGCATGCGGGCCTAGTGCGTGATGCGTGCGCGCGGATTGGGAAAATCTCGGGTTGGCGTGCGATCGATAATTAAATGCCCGACTCGGTTCGAACATTAATTAAATTAATTTGGCTCGATAATAAAATAAATACACTTAAGCAAATACAAGCATATAATCATGTAGAAATTAATTAATCGAGCCCAAAATAATTAATTCGAATAAATATAACGATTAAATATCTCAAATAAATCCAGAACAAATGGGGCGCTACAGTGGCGCCGACAGTCCTAAGACAACCACCAACATCCAGCGACAATAACTGCAACCGATGACCGCTCGGCCCTCCAGCGACCCCGACGTTCTCCTCCATCCACCAGCCACGTTCATCCGACGTTCTCCCGATTATCATTGGTGATTTTGAGGAAATTGACAATTCTAGGTAGTTGTTCTTTTTTCTTTTTCTGTTTTTGTGCATCGTGCTCAGATCTGGTTTTGCATGTTTATATTATTTATTGAGCGATTTTTAATAATTTTTCAATTATCAATTGCATGATATGTTAATGTGTTGAATTGTTTGTGATTAGTTTTGCTATTTTTTTTTCTATTTTGTGGCATTAAAATGGGATTTGTTGTTCTTTTGGGTGTTTGATTTTATGTCGTTATTGTTTTTTGTTTTTCTCTATTCTTCGTGTAATTGCCGTCACTTTTTGAATTGGCTAGCCCAAATCTTGACCAAAAATTTGATTGGACTTCTATTTTATTCCTTATTGTTTAGGTGCTATGTTATTTTTTTGTTGTTGTTGTACAATTTTCATGTTGCTTTAAAGGTTTTTTTCATGTTGCTTTTTTAATGTTGTTATGTTTTTTTTTTCTATAACAATATCTTGCTTCTTTTTTTGACAGAATGGTTCTTGTTGCTTATTTTTTATTGAAACTTTCCCACCAAAAAAAAAAAAACGAACCTACGTATGAAATCTTATTTGTGCACAAGGATTCCGCGGCGTGGTTGTCTCAATTTAGTTTGAGTTCCTGCATTCGACAGTTTCAATTGACAGAGAAATGAAAGACAGGTACTTCTGATTTGATGAATTTTTATTCATAAAACGAGTGAATTATAGAATAAATCTATATAGGGTTCGTTTAGGAATGATAATCTTCCATGGATTTAGAATTCTTGAGGTAAAATACGGTTCTTTTGAGAAATTAGGGAGTTTTCGAAAAATTAGGGTTTTTGCAAAAATGACGATTTTCTGGAAAATTAGTTTTTCAATTTTCTAAGCATGGTATCTTATGCAGTTGTCTGGGTATTTATCTGGGATTTTAAAATTTGTGAGTGATATTAGGATTTTTATGTGGAAATTAGAGATTTTTTAAAAAATTAGGGTTTATTTGAAAAAAGGAGGTTTTTCTGGGATATTAAAATGTGAATTTACTAAGAATAATATCTTCTGCAGTGAGAAATTTTCAAATTTTTATGGATTTTTTTTCCTTGCAGTGGCAAGTTTTCAATTTTTTTCAACTATGGAGGATACTTCGTCAAATTGGAAAATGTGGTTGACTACTTAGGTGGCAGTTTCAAGAGAGTCCATGGTTTAGATGTGGATAGATTTGGTTTTTTTGACTTAAAAGAAGAAGTTGAAAAGCTGGGTGTTGGTAAGTTTGAGAGAATTGTCTACAGAGTTCCATATGTTACTGGAAAACGAATCTTTAAAGATGTAGTAGATGATAGTGTTGTTATGGAGATGATTAGAGACAGTACTCAGAAAAGATCATTAGTAGAGGTTTATGTGGTTGGGGAAAATCAGACATCCAAAAAGAATGCAGGAGAAGCAGAGAATGGTGTGGAGTTAGGAGTTGAGGCACATAAAGAGAAAGAGAAGAACAATGCAGGAGAAGCACAGAAAGGAAAGAAGAATGCAAGTGTAGAAAATGCTTCTATATCAGGGGATGCTTTTGATATAGATACATAGATAGAAGAATTCAGTTTGCCAGATGAACAAAATGGTGTGGTTTAGGAGTTGAGGGGCAAATAGATTGTGATGCTGATGAAGAAGAGGGGAAAAATTCGCAGTTGTCTAATTCAAATGTGGGTGAATGTGAAGTTCAAAGCTCTGGAGATGATAGTGATGATGAAGATTATTTTCCCATGGGAGATAGTTCATCTGATGATGAACTTTCTGTAGATGACTTTGCCTCTGATGATGATGGTGAATATCTTGAGGCAAGGCAAAATTTGAAGAACCAAAAAAAGAGGAGATTGGAAGATGAAGAGTGTGCAGATAACATTTCTTCAGGTAAGGTCATTGAGATGGACAGTGAAGATTCTGGCTACTTAGACTCTGCATTGTTATCTGATAGTGAATGTGAAATGGATGAGGAGGGGAACTACATAGGTAGAAAGAGAAGGGTTAATTATGACCCTAAGTGTGATCACAGCACTCTTGAGTTTGTGCTAGGGATGAGATTCATAAGCATAGATGAATTGAAAAGAGCAGTCAGGAATGTTGCAATTTTCCAAGGTAGGGACATACAGTTTACCAAAACTAGCAAAAAACAGTTAAGGGTGAGATGTGTTGATGGTTGCCCTTGGAGCATGTATGCTAGTCTAGTTATGAGTGAGGGCAGTGTAGCAATCAAATAATTGATCAAGGAGCACAAACGCCATAGAAATGTGCACACCAGGCAAGTTACATCAGAATGGATTGCTGAGGAATTACTTGAAAAGTTGAGGAAGAATCCAAACATGACCATAGCCCAAATTGAAGAAGTGATTTCTGAGAAGTATGCAGTACAACCTACAAAGTGGAAGTTATATAGAGGAAAATGGAGAGCTCTTGAGATGCTTAGAGGTTCAGTAGCAGGCCATTATGCTTCTCTGAGGAGTTACATGGCAGAGCTGTTGAGGGTGGACAGAGATGGAAGGTTTGAGTTTCTTCTTGGTGAAGAAACAACATTCAGAGCTTTCTATATTGGGTTCAGTGCACTGAGAAAGGGTTTTCTTAGGGGTTGTAGACCCATTTTGGGATTTGATGAGTGTTTCTTGAAGACTTTCTTAGGAGGGGCTCTATTGTGTGCCACATCAAAAGATGGCAACAATCAAATATACCCAGTTGCTTGGGCAGTTGTTGAAACAGAGAATGAGGAGTGTTGGAGGTGGTTTTTAATTATTTTGTTCACTGATTTGGGCATTAATGATGGTCTTGGATATACATTCATGTCAGACCAACAAAAGGTATGTTTTGTCTCTAACATGTCTCAATTTCTAAATTTATGAACTTGTAGTTCATATATGCATATCTAATTTTAAGTATTTCTGAATTTAACTTGTGCATATCTAATTTTAAGTATTTCTGAATTTAACTTGTGCATATCTAATTTTTTTTTTACTTGTTGTACTTTTACAGGGTCTTCTGAGTGCACTAAAGGATTTAGTCCCACATGCTGAGCACAGAAATTGTGCAAGGCATGTATATATGAACTGGAAGAAGAGCTTCAAAGGACACACACTGAAAAGTATTTTTTGTAAGACTGTTCTGAGCACTAACCTGGGTGACTACAACATAAATTTGGAGGATTTGAAGCTTGAAGATCCAGATGCTTGTGAAGATTTCATTACCAGAGACCCTACCAAATTTTGTAAGGCTTATCTTTCTCCAATGCCAAGATGTGATATGATTGAGAATAATGTGAGTGAGACATTCAATGGTCTTATTGTGAAGGGTAGAACCAAGCACATCATTGATATGTTGGAGTTTGTTAGAAGTCAGTTAATGAAAAGGCAACATGACAAGCTGTTAGAGCTTAGTGGGCATACAGATATAATTTGTCCTAGAATAAGAAAGAAGCTTGAGAACAACAAGGATATGTCTAGACATTGTCTCACAAAGCCAGCTGTAGGTGATGTATTTGAGGTTGTGCATCAGGATGATCAGTTTGTGGTGAACTTGAGGAACAACACATGTACTTGCAGATACTGGGATATTACAGGCATACCTTGTGTTCATGCATGTTCTGCAGTGCATTTCCAACATAAGGATCCTGTAGATTTTGTGTCTGAGTACTTCTCACTTCAAAGGTATCTGGAGATGTACAGTTTCTCATTGCAGCCTATAAATGGAAAGAAGCTGTGGCCAGTTGCACGAGGATATCCTATTCTGCCCCTCCCTTTAAAAAGATGCCAGGAATGCCAAAGAAAAAAAGGAGAAGAGATGCTGTGGAAGAAATAAATTCTGGGACTAAGTTGAGGAGATTTGGGATGGTTATGACTTGTCGGAGATGTTTCAAAAAAGGGTACAATAAAAAATCATGTTCTAATCCTCCAGTTGAAAAACAGCCAAAGGTTAGAATTTGTAGATGGTATTTATTCATTATATTAGATAATTTTTAATCACAATTATTTCTTGTCAGAATCCAAGGGGAAGGCCTAAGAAGATTGTTGGACCAAAACAACCGCAGAGAACAGTTGAAAAGACAGCATCAGTGTCAAGAACAAGAATGCAGTCAAGCCAACAGTCATCTTTGACTCAAAGGGAAAGAGCTCTGGTAATATAATTTTGTTTGAATGAAGTTTTAGTGATATGTTCATAGTGTATCATGTTGAATTTCTAATGTGTTATACTTGTTTTTAGGCAAGAAAGGGGTTTGGTGTCCTTCAGTCTGAGGAGTCTGGTAATACATACATTAGGGTATGTTTCTTACCCTAATTGAAATTTCTATATTTATTATTTGTCTAAAATCCTGTATATTGAAATCAGTCTTTTTTAATTCTGAAACATTATTTGACATGTCAAAAATGTAGTTGTCATCAGAAAGAAGGGTTCATGTCATTTCTGGGAGAGGTGGTATGTCTAGCAACTCTAGAGGCAAGAGGATTAGGAAGAGTACTGGGGATGGATTAGGAACCCAGGAAAGTGTTGCTGACAAAGGATGATTGGTAGTGATGTTTTGAAAGATGTTTGTGACTGGCAGTAATGCATTTCTGATGGTTTACAATTTTTTGTGATTATGCTATTGAAGAACCTTGTGTTTGTAATGCTATTGAAGTATTTTGTTAAGTTCTGAACAGTGGTTTGTGTTTTGGTATTCCTGGAAGAAACAGTGGTTTGTATCTTTTGGTGTCTTATGAACAAAGGTTATTATTGAAACATATTATAAATCTTAGTGTTGGGTGTTGTATTTTTTCTATTTGGAAAGATGTATATGATTTTGTTATTGTTCAGAGGTGACCAATTTGTCTTTGAAACATATTTACAAAACAATTTATGTTCTGAACAAAGGTTTGAAGCTAACCCAAATGATATTAGACTTCTTATTAATGGCAAAATATACAAAAAAAAAAGGACAACAAGAACAACACTACAACCACAAGTTCAGACAACTACAGATTCCATTAATTCATAGGTTAAATACATCAACCATAACATAGAAAAATATTCAAATTCAACCATGACATAACAAACTATTCAAATCAACATTTTAGGCCCCTCGACCTCACCATGCTTTCCAAGCAAACCAAGAACAAAAAACTGTACAACCACAAATAAGAAAAACATAACAACATTCAACTTCCTTTCTAGTTTCTTATGCATGAGGGATAATGTATTTGCCAGAACCAGCACACTTTCTTTATTTTTCTGAACTTCGGCCAGCACGCTTTCTTTATTTTTCTGAACTTCGGACAGCACGCTTTCTTCATTTTTCTGAACTTCGGCCAGCACTCTTTCTTTATTTTTGTCAACTTCGGCTACACGATCATTCAATTTGCGTTCAAACTCACTGCCTTGGTCGAAGAATTCATCTTTTTCCATTGCCCTTTCACTGTACATTTTCTCCAACTTACTCTTTCGTCTCAGCTGCTCTTCCAAAGATTCTTTCTACCAAAAACAGGATTTCTGGAAATCGGGAAGTGCGGGATCAATCCCTCAAAGAATTTGCAGTCATCCCCTTCCTAAATATTTAAAATTCAAAAAATTAGGGCTACAGAATTTGGGGCTTTTGAGAAAATTAGGTTTATAGGAGAGTAAAATTAGGGTTTATACAAATTGGGTTTTATCTCGTCACAAATTAGGGTTTATACAAATTGGGTTTTATCTTTAAGAAATTAGGGTTCTAAGAAAGTAAAATCGAGAAGTTAAATCACGAGCTCACCAATCTTTTCGGACACCTGTAGAACCGCCTACATGGATTCTCAAACGTTGTGGAGGTTAAGATGTCGGCTTCCTCGATATGGTGGCAGTTCTTCTTCGCAGGAAAGCTTCTTCCGGAACTCTGGCTTGCGCGAGACGAAGACGACATTTTCAAACAAATCACGAGAGTAATAGTCTGCAAGAAATGATATTTTTTTGAAGTGAGAATTTGGGAATTATGGATTCGATTTAGGGATTCGATTTAGGGATTCGATTTAGGGATTCGGTTGGAGGTGGTATAGTGACGGGTTTTATAGAAAGAATTTAAGGACACATTTTTTTTTCCACGTATTTACTGTTTTTCCACGCAGGTAGCAGAAAAATCCACGTAGATGTAAGCTGTCGGACACGCTGGCGATTTTTGAAGGTCTGACCGGTGTAAGGTTCGAATTGCAATAAGTAAAGTGAGGTCGAGATTATTATGCAATTATCCAAAGGTTGGGATAAAAATGCAAAACCGAAAAAGGTTGAGGTTTAAATAGCAATTAACCCTTTTTTTTTCTATAACAGTATCTTGCTTCTTTTTTTGACAGAATGGTTCTTGTTGCTTATTTTTTATTGGTTCACACCTTATGTTAACTTTTCTATTTATTTGATTATGTGAAATTTTCTTATGATTTTGTGAAATCTTTTTGGAATGCATTTCATTAGATAGAAATAGAAAAAAATTATGTTTTGATTTGGTTTTTTTATGTTTTAAGAAGAAGAAGAAGAAGAAGAAGAAGAAGAAGAAGAAAATCTTGAAAAGTGGAGCGAGAGCGAGATGATAGGAGAGAGAAACAATTATCTTTTTAAAATTTATATTTTTTATTATTTTGTTTTATTTATTGGTTGTTATCTAAATGTAACCGCAATTGGAGTATTAATGGAATTCTCAACATTCAAGCCACTTCATGGAATTTTTTTCTTTCAAACGTCCTTAGCTATGTCAATTCCCCAAATAAAGAGTGGCCAAATTCACTCAATACTTAGCAAACATTTAAACACTTACAGAATTCTGGTGTATTCAATCAAAACTTTTAGAGAATTCTGAAATTCTGGTGTATTCAATCAAAACTTTTAGAGAATTCTGAAAAGTTTACATGTATTCAATTGAGACTTTTATAGA